AAGGAAAAATTACAGAAAATTTTTTCATTTTTATTCATTGTGTTCAATCAATTACCATTAGATTGACTGCGCCGGCGCACTGTACTGATCAATCACTTCGGATTACATCAGGAAAAGAGCTTATTACTTGCTTCTAATGAATCGTCTTGACGCAGCAGCGGAACTACGCCCGATATATTGCAAAGTTGATCATTTAAATAGCATTGTTTGCACACACAGATATCTCTTGAATTCAGCTGATATATAACGGGCCTAAAACACTGAAAAAAAATATTAATTTAAAAAATTCTTAACTCTAAAAATAATTTTTGAAGGATTTATCGTCTTAATTTAATAAAAAAAATTTTTTCTTAATTTTTTAAAAATTTTATTTTTTAGCGGAAGAAAAAAAAATTTTTCTCAGTAATTTTCTTGTTAAAAAAATTTTTTTTAATTTGGAAAAAAATAATTTTGAACGAAATAATTTCTTATTTAATTTTTTGAGCGGCATAGTGTTGAAAATTTCCGACAGGTGGCGCATGGTCGCTGAATCATCTCGTTATAAGAGAGTTTACATTGCAATTTTAAGTAGATTGAGAGAATTTTACAGAAACAATGATGATTTATATATTGTAGAGTATAAATAAATTTTTTTTGTACTTATATATGGCCATATCAGCAAATTTTTTCGATATAAAACTCTTCTAAAGTGTAAAAATTATAGAATCAACAATAATAAAAGCAGGTTTTCATTGCAAAATATCGATTTTTTTTTTGTACTTTTCTTCAGACTAAAATTAAGAAACTAGAAACGTTCATAATGAAAATAATAATTACTATGATTATAATTATAACAACGTTAGTCAATTACAGTAGGCAGCTATAAATACATCTGTGTGTATATATACAGTGTAAGTTTTTATCGTTAAAATTTTTTCATCGCATTTCTCATAATACATTGTCGGTCGTGCGGCTGGTAATTGCGTGGATGAATATATACCATATAGACGTCCACCATATACCGAGGAGCTTACATTATGGTGGATCATCACCAGTAGAATGAGTAGTTGTCTTTGAGTGGGCAAGTTAGTGCCGCAACCGCGGTATACTGCTATTTTATACTTTATATTATTTTCTTCTCTCGATTCCTCTGGTATCTATCGGCTTTTTTGTAGCTCATAAGACGTCTCTTTCTTCAGTGTTCAAGGGGTTTTTTTTTTCTTTATCGTACCTCCGTATTATATCGTTTTATAAATATATAAGCCGTAATACAGCAGTATCGTATATTATACCATTTAGTATAGCGTTGCGTATAAGCAGAAGCTACTGAACTCTTTGCTCTTGGATCTAGATCTAGAAGCTATCTATCGTTAAGACTTTAGCTAATAAACAAAAGAAGAATCTAAGGATTGAAGACTAATGATTAATCTTTTAATTAAAAAGAGCAACAGAAGTTATGAGTATAGATCGTTATTGCAGGTCAGTTAATTTTATATTCGATCGATGATTTGTTCGTTAACAAGTGTGAAAAATTTTTATATTTACTCAATATGTACCTATATGTGTATAGAGATATACGAATCACCGGTAAATTCATTCCCGTATACGCTGAATTTTTCCCGGTATTCCGGTACGACAAGCGACAAAAGTTATGACCATCTGACACGCTAACGTTTTAATCCATATATCTTTTTTCATTATACTCTTTTCACAGCGTGAATTTATTTATTTTTCTACTTTTACACAACCGGGTATTCCTTAAATTATTAAAACGTTTTATTGAAGATACACGCGAACGCGCGCGCCAATTTTATTTTACGGTTTATTATTATTATACATAAAGTAAAAAAAAAAGGCTCTACCCTGATTATCTTTACAATGAATTTGAACTGAATGAGAAGTATTATAAAACTAGAAATAATTCAAAATTTAAAATAAGAAAAACAAATATAATTACGTCGGAAAAAACAATTAAATGTAGAGGTTTACATTGGTACAACAAATTACCAAGTGATATAATAAATGAAGAACTAATAAATTTAGTTAAAATAGAGCTAAAAAATTATGTTATAAATAATGTTAACGGCGGTTTTAAAAATATAAATAGTTATTAAGAATGTACGCGGGAAAAAATTTCTGGGAAAATTTACGATACAACTATTGTAAAGCTGGACTATACTTTTATTACTATTAATTTTCAAATATTTTAGAAGAAAATTTACTATTTATTCATGAAATTTTACAATTTACGATTAGAAAAAATACGATATTACTACTGTAAAAAGTAAGAATTAAAATTTCCAGTGCTGCCTCTGTATCTTTCCAATAGAACTATAACAAATTTTACAATAGTTAAATTGTAATGTCTGTCAATTAGTGTGAGCAATGGCCGTGCACAGCGCTAGATTCCGAGATTATGTAAATGTTAAAGGACATGGGTACTAGTTTACCTCGGATAGCGTAGAGGGAGAGTCTCCGGCTGCCAACAAAGAGTTCTAGGTTCGATTCCCGGATAGGACGAAAATTAAGATTTCTTTCTTTTCGGTTACTGTATTGGTACCAATTAGTCCAACCTCCTATCTTTCTCCCTCCCTAAAATTTCTTTTAAAAAAACCGACTGTCAATTTTTACAATAGTTGAATTGTAAAGTTTACAAACACATATTGTATAATTTGCTCTATAGTATTCGACTTTTTACGACTCTTGCTAGTCTTATTTGTTGGATAAAATTTACAATAGTAGATCGTAAAAATTACTAAATGAGAAGTATAGTCCACCGTTACTATTTTATTTAGTAAAAATTACAATAGTAAAATAGTAAAAACTCCTTTGTATTGTATTTATTTATTTGAAAGAAATTATTTATGTTTATGTATATTGTAAATAGCAGAGCTAACAAACAATAAATATTATTATTATTATTGTTTATAATAAATCAAAAATTGTAAATAATAATAATAATAATTTTACAATATTTTTATTTCTAAAAATATATTTTTATCATCGACGGTTATTGATAAAAAAAATTTAATTTTATTATTATTATTATTATCTTTATTAAATTTTTTTATACAGTCTCCCTTTTCACGCTTGACCGTTAATTATCGTGCGCGAGTAGCAAACCGGGTGATTTAATCTGCCGACGCGGCATTGAGCAGCCGATGGCTACTGCAGAGACCAAGAGGTGCAAATGAGCCAGTTCATTTATAAGATCTGAATCTTTATATATATATTTTTATTTTTTATCAAGTTTTTTTCAAAAATATTTCATACACTTGCCGGAGAATTTATTTGATGTAATAAACCAGATTTATTATAAAATCCTTGCAAGAGCTTGCTTATAAAATAAACAATCATTTAATTTTGTCTTTAATTAATGCCAACTAGATTATAAAAGTTTTTTTTATAGATTTTTATTATTCAAGTACTTCAGTATTTTTTTTTGATACATTATATATATTGGAGTAACTACGATAACTATATGCGAGAAGTGCGATTGTAACGCCATCTCTTTAACTATTTTTAAATTAAATAATTTTTTTTACAATTAATTATTGATCCTCACTGTTTTTTTTATGTTAAATTAATCAATTAACTAAAATCTTAATAATTATTTAAGTAATTTTTACATTTTTGCATCGTAGTAAAAAATTCCATAAATCGTATAATTAAGAAATAAAATTGCAACAGTTTGAAAATTTATTAAAATATTATAAAAATAGACAAAGATAGATTGAATGTGCGAAAGTAATAAAAATAATTTTAAGTGCCGTGGCACGAGGTGGTGTCGCTCAAGAATTAACCTGACAGTCAATTAATTCTAGAATTAATTAAACGAATGAGCATGTAAGCGTAGGAAATTAATAATTATAATACGACCGGTAATAACCCTCTCGCGTTACTCTATCTCTGTTATTTATTTAAAACGGCATTATATACATTACAGCATTTATATATATGTGTAACACACAATCATCTCATATAAGCTGCTCGAGATAGGGAATATTCTTAAGTACACTCGTAACTCGCGAGGTTAATCCGATGGAAATGTATGTAAGTGATCTTTCGATCTCTCTTATATTATTATACTATACATACTTTTATTCTTTATTTTCATTCTGTTCAACTGAAATCTACTTCTGGATGCTTCCATATCATTCTATGTATTCTATTATCTCACTTATTTATTTTCAGTATACATCTACTTAGTGAAAATTGTTTTAACAGGTAACAAGTAAATATAATATGGAAATTTTTATTACTTATGTAAATGGGGAGAGATAGTAGCTCTGAATTGTTGTAAGTTTTAATAAATGTCAAGTTTAATAATAACAATAATTATAGGTATTTTTTTCACCAGAATGAAAAAAAAAATTTGGGAAATCCAAAAGTGCACGCCTCATAATCTCACTTTCCATAATAAAATTGATTAAAATAAAATACAAAAAATACTTTTAAATCTTTCGCGCCATTGTCCACCCAGAAAAGAAAAGGTACTAAGCATGCATTGTAAACGAACCTTATTTACATAGATATAGATGTACAAACGATTAGTGGATTTTTAGTTTATTGCTAATTATAAATAAACTACATTGAATTAGACCGTGATCTTCGAAAGGACTTAGTTTTAAATCATACTGAATCGTATAAAAAAAAAAATGGACTTGATTAGTTAAATTTTTCGGCAGTTATCGTGACCACGCCAGTTTCCATACATACATTTGACAGTCGAACGTCCACGGAATAATTTTTTTAAACATTTTTTTTATTTATTTAAAAAGCAAAATGTCTTTTAAAAATGTCATGTTGAAAATAGTTTAGTTTAGTTTATTAACAAATTATGCCAAGGCAGTTGCCAAATGGCAAAAAGTAAATATACATATAATTTTTACATTATTGTGCAGTTTAACTTAAAAATATTTAGAATGTTTACATAATAATATTTTTAGATAGGTGATAATGTTATATAATACATTAAGATTAGTATAAAAATTTAATTTATAATGAATTAACTAACAATTTTAAGAATCTTTGATGTCACTAGAAAGACAGGTAGGAAACTTTAAATTATAAAGAAGCTATATAATGAAGGTTTACAAAGTTTGAAGATTAATAAAACAAAGAAAGAAACATTAACAACAGTTTATGATCAAACATCTAGATTAAATAAATAATCAAAAATTTTATTTTTGAAAACCTCCAAGCTTGATGAATTTATAATATCCTCTGGTAGTTCTTCCCATAATCCTATAACTGTAATTACGAAAAAAGATTCATAATGAGTGGTACTGAAATTTGGGAATTTAAAGAGGATATTATTTTTCTTGGCTGCTAGTCTCTCAGAGCGTCTTACAGTAAGGTCTTCTTGAAATAATTCGCGCAAATAGCTAGGTTTACCAATTTCTAATAATTTATAAAAGTAACAACAAGTAAAATAAATTCGACGAAATAGTGTTTTTCCATGAAACAATTTTAGTTCAAGAAATCCCTTGATTTTTGTAAGGCGAGTGTAGAGTACAACCTCATCTGTTTCGGTTATGAGGCGTACAATTCTTTCAAAATTACAGAATATTTTTTTTTCAATTACAAATTTACATTTTTTTAAATATTATTTTTACTTTATAAAAACTGTCAATTTTATGTTGTAAGAATATAAATTTAAAGTTTATGTCATTTTTACATAAAATTCTTTTCCATGTAATCTAAAAATAAAAAAATCTGTCAGAGTTTTGTCATCAGTCAACTCACGATAATATCATGTCATACTAAAAGTAATAGCAATAGTAGTAGTTGAATCTACTCAGTAGATGCTTGTGTACTTGTGTAAACTTTTATTGTACTCAAAGGATACTTTTCTAGTCCTCAACTATTCAGTATTACTGTTGTATTCTCCTCCGCGTGATCGCATTGTTTAATCTAGCCACGAGCCCTATTGTTATGTACCAACAACTACCGTCCTGGTGGTAATTCAATAAAATATCTCGATTTCTTCCAGTGTAGTACGTACCTACCTACCTACCTACCTACCTACCTACCTACCTACTTCTTTTCTTCTATATTCCTTCTCGACTGTTCATCTTTATATTAAGGTAACCATTAATCTTGTCCAATATTCCTTGTCATACAATCTATGAGCTATGTCTTCTAACCTTAACGATCGTAAGAGCAGTAGTTTCGCTTGCATACTAGCGTCAAACCACTGGTATACCACCATTATCGTTCACTTAATATCATGATCATTATGATCCGAAGATATATCACATAGACAACTACAACTACATCTTATTTTTATAATAAAAATTCTCATCGCTTATGCATCTATATATACTAAATTTATGAACTCTATTTTTTTATATTTTATTTTTAATAATAATAATAATAACATAGACCTAATATGGTCATATATGTCCATAAATAATTTTTTAAAAAATTAGTATTGAAAATTTCCGACAGGTGGCGTTTGACCGCTGAATCTTCTCGTTATAAGAGAGTTAAGTTTCAGGAGTTAAGTAATAGAGTACAAAAAATATTTTTAGTATTTTTACCCGCCTAAAAAGCTTTTCTATCATCACATTTTTATTTAATTAATTATTTATCTAATTTTTGCTTTATAAAACATATTAATTAAATAAAATTGATAAATAATGATTTAATTTTTATTTAATAATAATAATAATAATAATAATCCTAGCGTATTTTTTGCAAGGTAACGTCTAGTTTTTATAGTATTAATTGTCTAGGATGTTAACAATCAAATTAGTACTGAAAAATTTCGACAGATGGCGTTTGACCGCTGAATCTTCTCGCTATATGAGAGTTAAGTTTCAGGACTTAAGTAATGAAATAAAAAAAAATATTCTTACCCGCCTAAGAAGCTTTTCTATCATCACATTTTAATTTAATTAATTATTTAACTAATTTTTGCTTAATAAAAATTATTAATTAAAAAGAAAAATTGATTTAATTTTAATTTAAATAAAAATAATCCTAGCGTATTTTTTGCAAGTTAACGTCTAACTTTTATAATATTAATTGTCTAGAATAAAAAGGTATAACTTGACGATTAACGACTTTATGGACTCACTATGTAATTTGTGCATATACCTCCGATAATCAAACTACTAAGATAGAGATCATCGACGTCTCGTGGATTATTATTGCCCGTGTAATATATATATACAATATATTACCCAGAACCATATATACATGTTATCTGTGTAATAAGATAAATTTATAAAAAATTAAGAAATAAGGATTGATTTATATAAATATGAAAGTGAAAGAAAATAACTGAAAGTGCTGTAAGTGTATATATATGTGATTTAAAGACAGGGCAATGTTGTTAGATAAAAAGACCGAGAAAAGTCGAAGAATATAAGAATAAAATGAAGATGAAGAAGAATGGTTAATATATTCGTCCTTACTTATACTCAAGTTTAAAACTCTCTATTTCTCGGTGCCGGACGATGCGTTGATTTATAGAATAGCCCTTGGGCATTTTCCGATAGTCGGATCACTGGACTGCCTTGTTACCGGGGTCTTGTTCTTCTTCGCAACTTTATTAACCAGGCTCGCAAGTTGCCTTGCCCATCTATGAAACCTTATTAATGGAGGGCACTTCCTACACAGAACACTCTACCACCATTACAAATCTGCTTTATATATAACATATATAAATTTATATATACTTATTACGTTATTTATGTACGTGTGGATCCCAAAAAGGCGCGAAAAGTTGATGTGTCCTCAAATGATCGTGAACTAGGGAAGAAACAGAGGCGATCTCTCGCTGGAAAAGTTATGTATAAATTCAACTGGAGAATGAAGCGACAAGTCAACAAGTGGCATTAGCGTGCTAAGCAGATGCAGATGAAACAAATGGATTTGGCTGGTGACCGCCGTAAATTTACAGTATCGTTGACACAATCTGAGCGCCCTCGCACGAACCCACGACGACCTTCTGTGCCACGTAGGCCAAATCTTCACGCTCAATCGTTTTCTTCTTCTGCTTCTTCGTTACATGTTTTTCATTTTTAATGTTTGTCTTATACTCTAATCAGCCGACTGTCATTTAGGGATTTTATAATTATTTCATTTCATGGATACTTATTATTTCGCTTTGAATTGATTCATTAACATTGCACAGAAAATTTAATAAATTATTAGTCTTGCTTTTTTTGAGCCGATGTAATGATTTGAAAATTATTTCTTAATAATTGATAAAATGTTTATATTTTTTATAAAAAAATTTTTATTGAAATAATTTATAAATATTTGATAAAAAAATTTTTAATAAGAATAATCTATATTATTAAGAGAATAAGCAAAATTTTGTGGACAGAATAGGCATAGGATAAAATCGGTTTTTTTAGTGGAATTTAATGTCATTGCAAAGGTTTTGACTTGAATTTGTGCCTTTTCAAGGTTTCATATCATTCTTACCAATAGTCAATTTATTATGATAAGTATTTAGGCTACATTTGAAAATGCTCTATTTTTAGATACATAATTAAGAAATGGCCTTGTATCTTGTGAAATATTGACATTTTTTAAGATATAAGCTCATCCCTATGTTACACTCATCGAGACCTTTCATTTGAGTGCCCACATCAAGTTTTCATATATTTATATATATTACATATATGTATATATGAAAAATATATCAAAATGCATGTGGGTACTCAAATAAAAGCTCTTGATAAGTGTTACATCGGAATGAGCTTATATCTTTAAAAATGTCAATATTTAAAGAAGTACAGTGCAATTTGACATAATTAAGAAATTACCTTGCATCTTGTGAATTATTGACATTTTTTAAGATATAAGCTCATCCCGATGTTACACTCATCGAGACCTTTCATTTGAGCACCAACATCAATTTTTAATATATTTATTTATTTATATATATTATATATATGTATATATGAAAAATATATAAAAAATGCATGTGGGTACTCAAATGAAAGGTGTCAATTAGTGTAACATCAAGATGAGCTTATATCTTCAATAACATCATTAAGTGATAAGATAAAACACCATTTCTTAATTATTGATATTTTTAAAGATATAAGCTCACTCCGACATTACACTCATCGAGACCTTTCATTTGAGTACCCACATCAGTTTTTCATATATTTATATATATTATATATATGTATATATAAGAAATATATAAAAATGCATGTAGGTACTCAAATGATAGCTCTTGATGAGCCTAACATCGGGATGAGCTTATATGTTTAAACACGTCAATAGTTATAAAAGTACAGTACATTATTTAATAAACAAAATTTTATTTATTTATATTTCACAAGTCACGGAAGTCACATAGTGACTTCAAGGTTGCTAATTAAACTAATTTAAATGAATAAAAAAATGAATAAAAATTTTTCAAAAAAAAATTTTTTTTGAGCTCAATATTTTCAATCTTTATTTAAATTTCCTATAAAATAAAATATTTATTCGATTAAAATAACCATTTACGCTTGTATAAAAAATAATTCCAATAAATCTGTTTAATTATACCAATAAATTAACATAAAATGCAAAATGTCGTGTCTGGACAAAATTAAAGTAATCTAATAGCATATCTAATAGTAAGATTTAAATAAAAATGTTTGTAAATTCCATTTAAATGATTTTAATTCTGCCGACACGTTATTACAGTAGTTAAAATGACAGCGGTAAAAGCATCTTTAAAACACCACCTACCGGGCTTGAACGAATATTACATTAAATAGGATGTTTGTGCATTTTGCGTATTAATATTTCTGCAGATACCAGGAAGATAAAATAACTTTAATTTCAATAGCGGTAATTACATTATTAATTACATTACAGTAAGACAAATTCGCTGTTGGCTCATTGAAGTCTTTTACACATTTTCTGGTTTATTATATTGTCTTGCATGAAGAATAAATGTTTAACTAGTTTATATTAGTCTAGTTGAACACTTTTGAACTAAGTAAGGACAAGAAAAGATATTAAAAACATTAAACATGTCTACCAGAAGCCGCGCCCTTTTCTACAACCGACATAGTCAAGTCTAACGTGCTAGCAATTAATAGTAAGTCGGTAATGCTCCCTAGGCATGCAAACTTGGACTTAACTCACTCGAATCTTCATCAGCAATAAAAATCTATCTTATTAATTAATACTGTCGTTCAGAAGCCTTTAAATTATTCTTGTAATTAAATTAAAATTACTCTTTTCTTTGCAAATAATATTAATTGGTGTTGTTGTTATTATTATTAATAAAAAAATTAATTTTAACTTTAAAAATATTTTTTTTTTCTGTTAATTTTTATAAAAAAAAATTAATTGTCGATGTTTAAATAAGAATAATTATAATTATTATTATTATTTGATGTAAAGCGAATAAAAGACTTAAAAACATGAGTGACGTGGAGGAAAGAGCAATGACGGCGAATTGAAAGAGGAACTCTATTAATTTATCGGTGTCGATCGTCAGTGAATGGAGGTAGAAAATCGTCTGAGAGACACCAATCACAAACTGTCGTACTTTTTGTCGTATGCTTTACTCTTTGTACTGATTGGAATGTCTGATGGTTATTTTATCGTTAGATTAATGCGTAGGAGGTATACAACAAATCAATCTCTAGAAAGATATATACGACATTATCATCATTATCTCCTTGTATCTCATCTGCCTATTGTATATTATTATTTATAATTATTTTTCATTAAAAACTTTCACACTTTTCAAATAATAATAACATTTTTTTTGATTTATTGTTAATGTAATTAATTGTATGAAAATAAAAAATTAATAAGTTTGAATATTTTTATTTATAAATTACATAATAGAGGCCGTTGCTCAGGCAGCGAAATATACAGGAATATTAAAAGGATACACAAGTACTCACACATCGTCAGATCTAGACATAT